TAAATAATTATTAATTATTTTCCTATCATTTGATTCATTATTAAATATATTTTTATACATACATATAGTTTTACATATTTCACAAAAGTTTTTGAATAAGACGAACAGTCAAACATGTGCTAAAAAGTCAACGGTGTCAAATAAAACGAAACGGAGGGAGTATATACATAGTAGCATCCTATGAGCTGTAATCATGCAAGGCATGTTCAATGTGTTTGCTTACCATATATGCACATAAAGAAGGGGCCATATGTGTACATATATTGGCTAGTCATCATTTTTTTATTTGGTTTGATAGAGCTCGGTTGTGCTTAACCAGATTGACCAGAGAAAGAAAGCGACGACCATATTTACGTTCGACCATATGAGACAGACCCATTAATACACCTATAGGGAAAAGGCAAGATAAGAGACATACTGACACAACAAAAGGTCTAACACTCATCTAGCGCACTACTATAACTATAGTGGAGAAGCCATCAATGTGCTTGTCGTAATTAAAATCTCAGTTGTATTGTACTTTGTACATATATACATGATTAAATTATTGTACTTTTTGATAGACATGATTCGATCAATAAGATACATCATTTATATATATATCGAATAAGGTCATGATCTGTTCTTTTTTAATTAACGTGAAATTTTCTAGATGTTTTATATTAATATTGGAATTTCGAGCTAATTAAATTATTGACCTAGAATCAATGTGGGGACTTTAAAAGGGCCTCCAAAGAGTATAGAAAAATTATATCAATAAGATACACTATTTAAATATATAGATCGGATAGTCAGGCATATGGTCTTTCTTTCTTTTTATTAATGCTAGAATTTCTAGATATTTTATATTAATATTGGAATTTCCATCTAATTTATTGACCTAGAATTAATGTGGGAACTTTAAAAGAGCCTCCAAAGAGTATAAACAAGATTAGTGCTAAGGCTCCATCTAGATCTACTACATATATATATGTTTGCACCATTGTCCACTGGACGTATGTATATACAATCAGCAGCATATGTTTGCACAAGAATAAATATGCATAACCAAAGCATGCTATATTCTATAAATTGCATGCAAGGCAGCATTTCATATAGAACCAAAGAAGGGGACCATGTGTACATATATTACAGTTGTATACGTACGTGTACCAATATAAGCCGGTGGAATATTGAAATATCAATCGTATATTGTAAATGCATAGTTACACATAATTAGCCCTCGGTGACCATGATCTGAAAGATACTTCATATCGTGTTGGGTTTTGTGCTGATCCTATACGTGCGATACATCATTTGTAGAGATTAAATGGTCACGATAGATTTTTCTTTTTCTTGATTGATGTATGCGAGAATAATAAATTTTTAGATAAATATAGCTTATATATATTTACTTGGAATTAATGTAGGGACCCTTAAAACAATCTCGAATTAATAATATAGAAAATACAATTACAGCTAAAATTCATACTTACTTTAGAAGAGGAAGATCTGAGAGAGCGTACTTGGAACTATCCACTAGACAGTCAATAAATGTGGCTCCAGAGGAGTAATATTATACATAGCCATAGCATCCTATGAGCAAAAAACATGTAAGGCATGTTCAATTTGTTTTCTTACAATATGTTCACATAAATAAAGGAGGGACCATGCGTACATAGGCTGTACGTGTTTAGTTGCCCTGAAAATTAGAAGTTTGGTTGAAATTGAAACGATGTGATAGAAAAGTTGAATGTTTGTATGTACGAAAATTCGATGTGACGAAAAAGTTAGAAGTTTGAAGAAAAAAGTTTGAATCTAAACCCGGCCATATATTTGCTAGACATCAAATTGTTTTGGTTTGATCTAGCTCGATTGTGCTTGCCCGATTGACTAGAAAAAGAAAGCATGGCTCATATTTACATTCGATCTTGCGAGATAGGCCCATTAATATCTTAATAGAGAGTAGGCAGACAAGAGCTAGAGATACTGACACAACATTTAAGGGTCTAGCACTCGTCTAGCCAATAGGCCCACTGGGTCTAGCACTCATTAGAAGTTTTTTCCTTCAAAACGTGTAACAAAATTTCACCCTAACCTACTGGCACATTATTTTTTTTTCCCAAATCTAAGTCCGAGCAGGCAACGTACAACAAGTCAGCAACGTCGTCTCGGCTGAAGTGACGGCTCCTTCTTACGACGCGTGACGGAAAGTGTCGGCTGACCAAACGGCGCCGTGCACGTCGTGCGTCCGTCCGCATCTACAGTCCGTGATACAGTAAATGAACAGTAGTAACTCGTTACCAACCCCAACTGCACGCTCCCAACGGGCGCTGTCAAACGCAGGTTAACTAGAGTAGAGAAGCCATCGGTATGCTAGGTGGAATCAAAATATGAGTACTTTGGATTCCGATCAGCTGCAGTCACTATAACTTAAGCAGCAGTAGTGCATGTCATTAGATGCAAATCGGATGGTCCAGATTGCATGCTGTACTGCACGTAGTACTGTAGCACAATACTGTAGCATAAAGTACTGTATATATATATACGTATACGTATATATATACACGTATATACGTATGTATGTATGTGTGTGTGTGTATATATATATATATATATATATAAAAGCCTGTATACTACTCCCAGGAGTAGCTACTCCTATTGTAACCATCGGACACCTGTCCACCTCACATGAAGGTTTCAGGTGTCAACACACTAACAGAGAGAAAATATCCACTAATCCACCGATGCAGAAAATGGATTTTCTTTTTTTTTGAAAAATCGGATCACTGCACTGTATGTTCTGCATGCTGAGGCATTTGAATGTTCTACATGCACGGCTTGTCGATCCGCACGCATGCAAGGCCGTGCGACCAGGAGAGTAGTTAGTGTGGAGGTTGCTACGGAGACTCCATATAAGTTTACGGTGGGCAAGCAGATCATTTCTGCAGATATTTGATGGAGCAGAAACACTCCGGTGGAAAGGGCAGAACATCGTCGGTGAGTTCTGTTCCGTCGCCTTCTGTGGAACCAGAAGACGTCGACGCGTGATGTCGAGCGGCAGAAGCCGGTCGTGGCCGTAGGCGTGTCATCGCCGGTGAGTTCTAGCAAGCAGCACAATCTGGCAGAGGCAGAAGATGGAACCGTTTCAGCTAATGGTGTTATGCAGCAGAAGCCTGCCGCAGATTGGTACACATCGGAGATTAATTTTTGTTTATGTTCTATTGAAATTTTTTTCTCTTGTTTGTTTGTTTGGTTCTGACTATTTGTTGCGTTCTTTGGTCAGGAATGGTTTTGTGCATTGCATGGATACTGCTTCCCGGAGTGAAGAGATGAATCACTCTCTCCAGAAATATGACATTCATTTGGATGGCATATAGCCAGAAATATATATGACATGTAGCCAGTAGTGAAATGATCAAAAAATTTGTAATATACCTCAAAAGAAAATAGCAGAACATCAATTGGAAGAAATTCATAGGAAAAAACTGGCCGGCAGAAAATATATGTTAGCCGGTCAATTTGAAAAACTGGCAGAACGTCAGCTAAAGAAATTGGCAGAACATCATCGCCGTTAAAAAATTGTTGGCAGAACAACCACCTAATTTTTCTCTATACCCAGTTTTTAAGAGCAGTACATATTCTGCCTATTGAAAGCTGACAGAAGTACATATTCTGCCTATTGAAAATTAATGGAAGAAAATCTTCTGCTCAGAATTTAATCACATCCGCATAGAAGAAGTATGCAAGTTCGTGTAACAGAAAGCTAATTAATCTTCCATTCCAAAATCAACGGATAGGATAGCAGAATAGAGTCTGTGAGCTGTGAAAGGAGCAGAACATCGGATGGAAATGGAGTAGAAGATTAATTTCAAAGAAGAACCTTCTACTCCTGTTCCTGTAACTAAATCCCATCGTGTAATATATAAAGCAGTTTCTGCTCGTCAGTGTATGAGTACCATATATATGCATCACCGTAGGACAGAAGCTCTAGTCTGGAATGTGTGCAGAAAACAATTTTCTGGTCTCTAGATCCATAGCTCAACTTCTGCTCGTATAATTGAATCTCATCATTGATATGTTCTGCTCCTCAAAACGTTTTAAAAAATGAGCAGAAAATAGAAAAGGTGGACAGTAGGTAACCGGAAAAGGAGCAGAATATCGGTTAGGAAGGGAGCAGAAAATCGGAAGTTTGGAACAGAACAAACGAAAATAGCGGTGGCTTGTGCTCTTCGTTTCCATTCGATCCGGTCATCTAAAAAGGTGAAGAATATCTTCTACCCCTATAACTAAATATCATCACCTAATATGAAGCCTGGCAAGAATATTGGCAAAATAATTTCTGTTCGTCCAGCGTGTATGTGTACCATATAGTATATACATCATCGTATGACAGAAACTTGGGTTTGAATGCATCGAGAAAACAGACCTTCAAATCACAGTTGCTCATTTTTTAAAAAAAAATCATGAACCTATATCCCCGTTATAGGACAGAACAAAGTTGCAATAAAGCTAAGGCACAATATATCTACATAAAAACCTCATCTGCTCATTTTTACTAGCTGATTGAATTGACATGCATTCAAAACAATTTGTATCCCGTGAAAAGAGCAGCTGGCTTCCTTAATGGATTGGATTACAAATCTGATTAGTCATTAACCCGTTAACAAGGACTCCAAATTAGCACCAAGCTGCACAGATCGTGTAACAAACCGCATGGTGGATGAGACGGGAGTAACTACTCCCGGTAGTAGTATATAATTTTCCTATATATATATATATATATAGGACAATTGTGTTCCTACCGTTGCTTTACAATTCAATTGTGATTTTACCTCTGTTTTTTAGGGTTTGTGATTATGCTCCTGCTTTTTTTAAGCGAAGCAGCCGTCTGCCCTGGTTTTGACGGTAGTTAGGTGGGCCCGGAATTTCCAAATTTAACGAAGAAAGAAAATGATATTATAATTTGCGAATGACCCTCTTACCCTTGGTTCACTGAAAGGGCCAACCTACTGAAACGATTTCCCCAAATCAAAAATATCCAGAACCCTAGCGAGAAGCGGCGGCGCAAGCAGGGGCGGCGCGCGAAGGCCAGCGCGCGGCGGCCCCGCGTGCCAGCGCGCGGCAGGGTGACGCAGCGGCCTTGTGGGCCAACTGCCGCGGGCCAGCGCGCGGCGGAGAGGGGCAGCGGTGTTGCGCGCGGGCAGGGAGGCGCGGCAGCGGTGTGCACGGGCAGGGAGGCGCGGCGGACCCGCGGCCAGCGCGCAGGAGGATTCTCCATCATCTCATCTCATGCATGCTATTGCAAACTGCAGCAGTTCATTGTTCAGAAAAGGAATCCACTACTGTATGTATGGTTTCTTGGAGAATGGTGTGTATGTTGTCATTAAGCCTTTGTTAGTCATGATCTCTCCCAGGTAACACATCTCTAAGCTTCCCTAGTATTGCAATCCTTTCGTTCTCTAGCTGTGTGGAGCCACATGGTTCATGTACAGTTTTTGTTGGATGGAAAATATGACAGGTTTCAAAATTCATCAGGAGAATTCAGATTCAGAATTAAGTTCCCTGGCTGGTGGGTATGGTAAATTGCAGTTATATCAATTGATCAAAGTTCAGATCCAGAACTTTGACTTCTTGTTCCAGGGCTTTTGTTGGATATTAATGTGTAATGTTGAGTATTGTGCTACTTTCTGATAATTTGTGATGCTTGCACATGTTATATGTGATATGTTGGAAATATCTATTGAAATTGTGTCGAAATTATTGCTGAAATTTTATCCATGATATTGTGCTGTCAACTTGTACAAATTGTGTTCAAATTATTGTTGAATTTCTATCAAAATTTTGTCTCAATTTATTGCTAAAATTCTGTCAAAATTGTCCTACATTTTTTGTTCAGTCAACTTTTACAAAATTTGTCAACATTTAGGTCCCATATGAAATACGCACAAATTTAACTTCAAACATATATATCCAGTGTTTATGCTAAAATTATTGATCTCAATAGTAGAGGTATATTTGTCTATTCATCACACATTTAACACCGTTACCAGACCAGGGGTAGGCGGCTGCTTCAGTTAAAAAAGCAAGGGCAAAATCACAAACCCTAAAATATAGGGGTAAAATCACAATTGGACTGTAAAGCAAGGGCAGGAACACAATTGCCCCTTTATATATATATATATATATATATATATATATATATATATATATATATATATATATATATATATATATTAATTGGGCACTTCCTACGAGCTCCCACGTTAATAAGAAAGATCTGGCCATTGATTAAATAAATGATATTATCGTCACCGTAGATCGTAAAATCCATCCGTGTTTAATTTTGTGGGCCATATGTAAATCAATCTAACACCACCTCATGAAGGAATAGATCATAAGAGAGGATATGCGAGATGCAAGATTGTTTATGTTGCTATCGAGCGTTAAGAACATAATTAGACCTATTTAATTGACAGCACAAGAAGAGAAGAAAATCAGCGAATCATATGGCAACACCTTGGGCATCGATAGGGAGGCATGGAAAAGGCGAATCAGAGCCTGCGTACGTGACAAGACGATTAATTCTTCAAGCACGCCGTACGTTCACGTCTATGGAAAGCAGCGATCAGCAATGGGGTTCAGAACGGCGTTCACAATGCAGCACATCAAGTCGCTGCTCGACGCCGATGTCGTCGAGTCGCCGCGGCTTCCGCCGCTGCCATGTCCGCGCCTGCCGAAGTTATGGCATGTCGGTGCGAGCCTTGGGGGCGCCGCTGCTTCATACGCCAGCGACGACGTACGCCGACAACACGGCCATGTCCATGCAGGCTGCCGCTGCAGGTAGATGCATGTACGCTCCATCGTCTGTAATTTCTCCATATACCCGTTGATTCAGCACATAGAAAAGCAATCACAGATTGATCATGAGAGGCTCAGCGCAAGGCTGATTATCCGTGCCAGAGATGCATAGATAAATACCCTTAATTTGTTAACACCATACTTTCAGTTAAGACCATTGATTATCGATTAACCATCATGTTATATATATGTGTGTGTCTATTTGTTTCAGTTCGTATCCATCAGCCAAGCTAATTGCCTGGCTGAATCATATGGATGGACTAAGACACAGAAACATGGTACATGTATAGGATCAACATGATGAAGGCTTAATCCAAAAGGTTAATCCGTGCATTTCTTTTATAACTTCATACTCTATTTAAAAAAGATTATTGGCCAATGCTAACATCGATCACATAGATAGATCGATCCATACAAAGCCAACTCAAAACAAGGAGATCAAGTTAGCTATACTGAATGTGTTTATTTGATTTTGACTAGGTTATAATAGTTTTTATATGGGTCTGTCTATTTTTCAGTCACTCCAAAATGTACACAAATTTCAAGCACTTTGAATGGCCTAGACCACGCCAATATTCATGAAGATGCAGTATATACCCAGCATATCTTCTACTCTTCCTTTCACACCTGTAGGACGCTCGCATTTTCGCCCATCCTGCTGCTGCTCTCCTCCAATTTAGGGCGATCCAAATATAGCAATAATCTTTTCTATATTTTTATTTTACAGATTCAACGGATAAATTTTCTTCAACATTATTAAACAACTTATGTATGTATATAACCTAACGAATGTAACGGTCATCCATATCTATATCATGAATTTGTGTTAAATAAAACATGAAATCGGAAATACCATGGATTGTTTAGTTTTTAGTTTGTATAAATTTTTATAATTCAAAATGAATAAATACTAAGTCAGACAAATCGCAAACTCTCATTTAGTATTTTAATAATTTCATTTCATAACATTAAATTAGTAACGATCAAGCAACTATAATTTCATAAGTAACCAACATATTTAGAGTGCGATTAAAATTTTATTATTTATTGTATCAATAATATGAGCCCTTGCAACGCACGGGTTAGCGACTAGTATATATATGACGCGTACGTAAGCTCCATCGATCAGATGAGCAGAGATACCCAAACCATTCCCAGCAAAATGCCTGTGCTGCTAATTGCAGTTACAGCAGCAGCAGGAGGAGGAGCATCAGAACGTGGTGATGAGTAGCCAGTAGTCTTGGGCACGGCAGCCGCAGCCGCAGCCGCAGCCGCAGCCGGGAGAGGCGGCTCAACGACGTCCGATGGTTTGAGCACAAGTGCTGGTGCCCGAGCCGGCCGCCTGGCTTTGTCTTGGAGTGTTTGCACGAGACCGCCGATTTCGACAGCCTTCATGGACCGAGGCTTGCCATCTCCCAGACCCGTACAAGAGTTCACTGCCAGTAAAAATTAATTATTGATGCAACCATATCCAGGTTTAATTATAGTTGTTAATTTTTTTTTCTTTCCTTTTAGCTAATTTATTTCAACTTGAAATTAGGTCTGGATATATATACATACATGCATACACACACACACACACACACACACATATATATATATATATATATATATATATATTATATGACGAACCATATACATAACAAATAAATTAAATATATATATAGTATAATGGTACTGCTTACTTACTTTTGTATCTTCTGACTGTCTTGGGGAAATCAGTTATGATGCCATCAATATGAACCAGAGAAGAACGTAGTTATTGATTTCCACCGTTGTTTCATCTGAGAAGAAATCCCAGGGTGATGATACAAACTCATTCCGGAATACCTGGGCATACACAGCTAACCGCCCCGCAGACTGCAGTTCTTTCACGAGATTGGTTTTCCTTACAATGAAACCACTGCTCTCAACAAACACGGATTTCCTATCAACATAACAGCTTCAGCGAATTTATTGATCTCTGCCACCGATGAATCAGAAGCATCCTCAATGTTTAACGGGAGCGTGTAAACAAGTTTGTACTGTGTTTTCTGATGCTTCAGTTTGACCAGAACAGCACTGTGTCTAGACTGGATCATAACCTCCTTGTTCGTGCACTGGTGGAGAAACCATCTTTGGTCGGTCGCCCGAAATCCACAATAGTCTCGGTTCCACTAAAAACCGGGACTAAAGATGATCTTTAGTCCCGGTTGGTGGCTACAGCGGGCATATTTGATCTTTAGTCTCGGTTGGTGTTACCAACCGGGACTAAAAATGATCTTTAGTCCCGGTTCTAAATCTGTCAGGCCTTGTCAGGCCCCCCGATATCTTTACTCCCGGTTGGTAACACCAACCGGGACTAAAGATGATCTTTACTCCCGGTTGATAATATCAATCGGGAATAAAGCGTACGCACCAGCCCACGCACAAGCGCATGCGTAGCCCATCCTTATCTCTTTTTCTTCTCCTTCCTTATCTTCATCCTCTCCCCTTCCTCTTCTCTCACCCCCTCTCCTCCTCCCCGACGGCGGCGGCGGGATGGGGGATGGGCGCGGGCTGGCGGCGGCCGGCCGGCGGGGGCGGGATGGAGGCGGCCGGGCGCGGGCTGGCGGCGGCCAGGCGCGGGCTGGGGCTGGCGGCGGCCGGCCGGCGGCGGCGGGATTGCGGCCAGGCGCGGGCCAGCGGGATGGAGGACGGGCGGCGGCGGCCCGGCGTGGGCCGGCGGGATGGAGGCCGGTCGCCGGCAGCCTCGCCCTCCCCTCCTCCAGATCCGGCCAGAGGGGAAGCGGCGGGATGGAGGACGGCCGGCGGCGGCCCGGCGCAGGCCGGCGGGATGGAGGCCGGTCGCCGGCGGCCTCGCCCTCCCCTCCCCCAGATCCGGCCGGAGGGGAAGCGGCGAGATGGGTGGCCGGCCGGCGGCGGGATGGGAGGCCGGCCGGTGAGTCGATTTTTTTTTTTGATTTTTTTTAATTTGTGGTTTGGATGTTTTGATCTGTGAATGAATCTATGAATCGATATTGTGAATGAATCTGTGATGTTGTGAATGAGTATGCGACTCGATGTTGTCAATGAACCTTTAAATCAATATTGTGAATATATTTGTGATGTTGTGAATGAATATGTGAATGGATATTGTGAATGAATTTGTGGTGAATCTGTGAATCGTGCTGTGGAGTTGTGATGTGGATTTGGGGTTTGATTTGATGATATGCATACCACTCGATTCGGGAGAAAATAAAAAAGAAAAAAGGACTAGCTGATGGACTGCCGCTACCCTCTCTTTAGTCCCGGTTGATGACACCAACCGGGACTAAATCTTTAGTCCCGGTTGGTGTCATCAACCGGGACTAAAGATCGATCTTTAGTCCCGGTTTTTTCACCCGGGACTAAAGATAGCGATCTTTAGTCCCGGATTGGTAGTCCCGGTTTGAAAACCGGGACTATAGGGGGGTTACGAACCGGGACTAAAAAGCACTTCTCCACCGGTGGTGGTGGTAGTGTTGTTATATCCAGCATGACTCAAGGCAGTAGTTACAAGATCAACAACATCAAATCCTAATGATGCTGCCATAAATGCGGCATTCTGCAGGTTCACAAATCAAGGTTGATCGATTATATATTCCTATATATATATAGTATATACACACACTCTCCTATATAGAGAGAGAAAAAGACGTACCTCGATGGTGATCATGATGCCAGACAACTCCTTGTCCTTCGCATATGTCAGAAATTCAGATAACTTCAAAAACTTGCCATGATTTGTGTACCTTGGATTCCGTAACATAACATAATCACTCAGCGGGGAAGATATTTTGGCTGCAGGTAAAATAAGAACACACGATGAATTAATTTTCTCCTGTATAGTATCGCTCGCGTGTATGAAATGACCAAGTCAGTCTACAGCAGGCCCTTTTATCAAGGAAACAATGTTTCTCGCC